CTGGTGCCACCCACGGCCTCTGGTGCCACCCACGGCCTCTGGTGCCACCCACGGCCACTGGTGCCACCCACGGCCACTGGTGCCATGGGGTAGTTTTCTCTGCTACCCTTTCTGTCTGTTGGACCAGACCCCACACTGTAAGTGGAGGTGGGGTCTCACAAATGCTCTGACTCATCACCCCAACCTTTGGGCCCCCTAGCTGGAACTCAATGAGAAACTGTTTTATTCAATGGTTCTTCAGAAAGTGTGTAAAGTGTCCTGACCTGTGTCGCTGGATGTCATCACCCTCTGCCTGTCCCTCTGAGGCATCAGAGGAAGCTCACAGCTTGTGGATCAGGCCTGAGAGTCTGATGTGAGGGAGATAGACACAGAACATCTGGCCAGCCCCCGCCCTTCTGGGGCTACAGCTGCTTTTGGCAGGAAGGTTCTAACTGGGTGGCCAGGGCACCATCCATGTGGAGAAGGAGAGGGACCTTCTTGGATGCTGAGTGTGACCTTGAACAAACACTTTATGACCCCCTCCTCCTGTCATTAAAGTTTGGGAAAAGCTTCACAGCTGGCCTCTTCAGAGGCGAATGGGTGTGGACCAAGGTGGCACTGGGCCTGAAAACACACAGGACTTCTCTGGAAGCTTTGGAACGAGGGGCACATGAGGGAAGACGCCTCAGTGGCCAGGAGACAAGCCAGTGAGTCAAATCCCTCAGTGCACAAGCCTAGCCACCAAGTTTGGTCCTCAGAATGTGTAAAAACCCAAAGGCAGGACACCACGGCACACGCGTAACCCCAGCACTCCTAAGCAGTGAGACAGGGTCCCTAGGACACAGTACAGTGGTAAAAACAAGACAGACTCCCTCAACAAGGGGGGAGGAGAGAACTGACGCCAGACAGTTGGCCTCTGATTTCCACATGCTTGCCATGACATCCAAACGTGCCCTCACCCTACACAAAATAGTAAGCACGTCGGGCTTTTTGGCTTTCACAATTGAAAAAAAAAATGATGGGGGTGGGGTATGTTGCCATTTGCAAGGCACCTCTTAGAGAATTTAGTTGCTGAGGTCTAGAAGCTGTTGTTTCCCTCTCCCCAAGAAGAGCATCCCAGGGAACACTCATTGAGTGTTGCTCTGTTCCCCATCTTATGGATCAGGAACTGGGTGGTCCCCAAGGCTGCTCAAGAGGCAACAACAGAATGGACCAGACTTCCACGCTGGTGGCCAGGGACGGGTCCTGAGTGCAGGTGAGTCGACACATCAGCACTGTGTGTGGCCCTGAGGGAGGACCTTCCCAGGGAGCAGGGACCTTGAGTTCTGTCTTCCTGGCTTCCCCTCCAGCCCGTGGTTCCTCCCACCCCGCCCTGGCTGGCTTGAGCTGCCAGGGAGAAGCCTCAGCAGCCAGTCTTGGGGAGTTTCTCAGCTCCCAGAGGCATCTGGGCTTCCAAGAGCCTGAAATAGGCTTGTCTGCGTGTGAGGGGGAAGGTGTCAGCGTTACAACCAGGAGGGAGGGTGGTGTTCCCTCCCGGGGCTTCTCCCTGACAGGGACTGGCGGCATGGGGTCTGCCTCAGACCCTAAGGCAGCTAGCTCCTCCTCTGCGACACCATATCTGCCAGGAGCCCCTGCTGGTCGCCAGCCTCTTCCTTGCCCCCTATCCGGCGGGCAGAGTGGGCAGTGAGGACAGACGAGGGGGAGGGGCGGCCAGGGGGCCTGGTCCCATGGATGAACATGTTGGGCTTGCCTAACACGAGTTTGTGAGCAGGATCTACGATGGGTCCTGGGAAGCTATGAGAAGCTAAGGGTCTTGGTCTTGCCCCTTTCCATTGGCCGGGCCTGGGGCAGGTAGCAGCCGGGGAGTCGGTGGCATCTGGAGCCGTGGGGAGTGGCTGATTCAGTGGCCCAGGGTTGTCAGGCGGGCTTTGGTCAATACAAGCATGGAGTTAGGTGAAGTGTGTGGTGTTGGGAAGCTCGGCGAGCCAGATCTGATCGCCATCTCGGGTCTTCTCGGGTTCACTGTAGGCCTCCGAGCCCGGAGTCTATCAGTAGATACCTTCCCCAGCCAGGCCTGGTCCCTGGGTGTCGGGGGGTGTTACCGAAGAAGAAAGGACTCACAGGATACAGAATGAGTACTCAGACCCTGTCCTCCTTCTGCCCCTCCCCCGGGGGAAGCAACTCACTGACAAGCCTGCGCGGAGCATCTCCAGGTCCTGTGGACCTTGCCTTGTTTCCTCTTGGTACCCTAACATGTGCGCTGTGGGTTTAGGGGTGCCACACAGGCGGAGAGCAGCCCTCTGGGGATGCGCGCTGGCGCATGCATCCGAGGCTCCATTCCCCACTGCGTGCTTGTGTGTGGGTGCCCACACCGCCAATCTGTCTGCAGCTTCAGCATCCCAGTGGCCCTCCTCGGTTCCCGCCACCCAGGCCAGTGTTGCTGGGCGAGAGAACTCTGAAATAGCTGCTCCTTCCTCTTCCTCAGGAACCCTCCCCCAACTCCTCTAAGATACTTCTGCTCTTTTCCTCCAAAATCTACTTCTGAGTTGGAATCCAGGCATATCAGCACGGAGCTGGGTAGGTCCCAGGCTTGCAGGAGGCAGAGGCAGAAGGGGAGAAGAGCCAGAGGAGGGGCCGGGACTGGAAAGGCGATGTCCTGTCGGTCCACCCCAGGTCTCACCCTGTCTCCACAAAGGCTGCTGCTCTGCCCTGGGTCTGACAGCCTCCCCCTGCCAAGACGGAAGCTGAGGGTGAATGTGGTGGCCCTGCCTGGACCCCTGGGTCCAGCGTGTGTTGGAAGGATCGCGATGTGATTTGCAGCTGGAGTCAGTCTCCAGCTTGTTGGGCTTGGAGACATTGTACGTGTACAGGTGTGTAAATCCAGCATCACCTAGGATGGGGGGTCCTCAGAGATACTGGGGACAGACACTATACTTCCTACCTGGCTGGAGGGTCCAGAGTAGGGCCCTGTCTCCTGAAAGCTACCCCCCCCCCAAAAAAAAAAGAACCCTAACAAACTCCACCATTGCGTCCTAGATGCCAGCTGGTCTCACTCACCTGTCTCACCTGCAGCTCGCACTGGCCTCACTTTGGGGTGGAGAGGGACAGCTGAGCAGCTGGGCCTCTTGACCTCTAGACCCCTGCCCTCTGCTGTGCTCTTCCAAAGGGCCGAACTGGACAGGGAGTCCCGTTTCCCCTTTAAACCCTTTCCTGGATGAACCTCAGTTTCTCTGCCTGTCTCTAAAACGGGGAGCCCCTACGGTCCCCTTTGAGGGGCTGGTCAGATGCCTGAGCCATACCTCTTAGCTGGGTCTCTAGGGTCACTCATGAAGAAGACCGACCGGGCTGAGTGAGTTCTGAGGCCAGGGGGACCAAGTGCCCTCTCGCGTCTAGTTCCTTGAGAGCCCCACGCCCCGAGCCGGGACGGAATCTGGTAAGGTTTCCATCGCCCCAAGGCGCCCCCACCACCGTGACCCGTCCCCAATCGCTGGGGAGGTGGCGCCGGAGCTCGCAGCGGGCCGAGCCCGCCTCTGCCAGCAGCCGCTGTCACCCTCCCTGTCCTGGGCCCCGCCAAGCCCCGGGAGCGACACCTACCTCACCAGGATGGCCACCCCCACGTCCTCGCAGTTGGCATACAGCCGGGCCCACGTAGCCTGGACCGCCTTCCTCTCTGCCTCGGACAGCTCCTCGCTCCGCTCCCTGCGATCTCTCTCCATGTCGCCCGGCACTTTCTCCATGAGCAGCTCCGAGCCCAGCGCGGCTTCGCTAGGCGGCGGGAGCTGGGAGCCGGAGCCGAGGTCGGTGCGTGCGAGGCGGGCGGGCGGGCGGGAGGGCGGGAGGGCGCGGAGTAGAGCGCCGGAGGGAGGGAGGGAGTGTGTGTGTCTGTGCGCGTCGGGTGTGTGTGTGTGTGTGTGTGTGTGTGTGTGTGTGTGTGTGCGTGTGTGAGTGAGTGTGCGCGCGCGCGTGTGTGCAGGGTATATGTGCAGGGGGCGGGGGACTGCGAGCTGGAGGCGGGGATGTGGTCTGCTGGGAAAAAAATGTTTAAAAAAAAATGAATCCGTTCCAAACCCCCAGTCCTGTGTCGGGGAGCCAATTCTGGCAAGGTAAAGACTGGGCGGGATGGGGGCGTCGCGGCTGGCGTCTGCCCGCCTGCCCACCCACCCGCCAGCAAGGCCACCGCGGTCCTCGCTGGGAGAGGTAGGTGTGGCCAATGTGCAGAAGGGGCTGGGAGGACCAGGGGGTCACGCGGCATGGGCAGAGCGAGCTGCACCCGCGTGCGCCCGGGGCTGGTGCGGGGCTGGGGGCGAAGGGACCCGGCTCTCGGTGCGCGGTGTCTGGACCTGTGCGCGTGCGTGCGTACCCTTCACGCGGTGGGGAACTGACTCAAAGTCAAACACACCCAGGCTTTGCCTCCCTCCGGTTGCCTGCTGGAGAGGACACACTTGCAGACAAAGCTGGGCTTCTCCTGTAGTCCAGCCGCTCCTGAGCCTGAGCCTGGGCCCGAACCACTGTTCTCAGACCTGGGGACCTCAAGTTCTGTCAGGTTTAGGGCTATGGATAGTCTCCCTTCCCATCTGCTGTTCCTGCTGGCTCTCGGAACTTGAACACATGTCCAGTCTGGGGAACCAGAGGCCCGTGCTCCCCTTTCCTCCCCACCGATGCCACCTCATGAGGGCAAGCAGGAAGGAAGTCCCGAGTGGCCAATTAGTGACTGACAGGTAAGAACCAGACACTGTCCTGAATTCTGGCCCTGGCCTTGGTGAAGTTTCATAGAGGCAGTGGCAGTCAGGTGTGATGGAGAGGATCTGGGGAGCCAGAAGTCATAAGGCACAGGACAGTGGAGACATCTGTCACCATCAAGGATTCAATTTGAAAACCAGAAGGCAAATCCTTCATCGTAGACTGCTCATGGAGAGGTGAGATCGGGACAGAGCGGGGATTGTTCTGTCTTGAGAGACCAGAAACCTCACCTTGCCAGCTCGGGCCTGGGCATGGACAGCGGGAACCCCGAGACCACAAGTGCCCACCGGGCCTGACACAGATGAGTGGGCACGGCTCTGGTTCTCCTCAAGGTTCCCTGTCAGCCCTTACCCTGCTCAGGAGTGAGTGAGATGGGAGTCCTGTCCTGCTGCCCAGGAGATGGCTCTCCTCTTCAGCTTTGGCTCCTGTTGATTTAGAATCTTTAAAGGTGCTGGCCCACTCCCAAAGCCTTGATGACCTGAGTTCCATCCCTGGGAACCACATGGGCAAGGACTCCTGAAGTTGTCCTCTGACCTCCACATTCTCTCTCTCTCTCTCTCTCTCTCTCTCTCTCTCTCACACACACACACACACACACACACACAATAATAATAACAAAAATAAGAAATCTAAAACATAAAATCAGACTTTAAGATTCAGTCATGGTAATCAGCAAGACCCTTTACAGACCCAGCAGGGTACTCCCTGGAGCACAGTATTGGGGTGCCTGATGGGATTCCTGGGCGGGAGGCATTACCTCCCATCGTGGTTAGGGAAGGAAAACTGAAAGTCTTAGAGAGGACGGAGCACAGTGTGGGTTCAGGTCCCAACATCATCTGCACATGCCCCTGCCCTGCCCTGATGACTCCCGCTCTGCTGCCCAGGAGGTCCAGGGGGGATGTGCAAAGATATTTCTACTGATTTTCATCTTCTCCTCCAGTTGCCATACCTCCTAACATAGGAATGTATTGGTACAGTAATCTAGCATGTAACCGATACACTTATAATTTACATCTAAATTACATAAGATCATTATATAAGATAGAATTTATAGTTCACATCTGTGCGTGCACACCTCGACTCTGTCTTTTACTGGAAAGAGTGTAACGAGAGAAGAGTTCAGAGGGTTGCCAGAGGGATTGAGGGAGCCGGGGTCACACGCATGCTCTGCTCTCCCGGGCTTTCCACAGCCAGGCCTCTTCCCTTCTCTTCTCTCAATGGCTCTGTTGTGACAGCGCAGTCCCCCAGCCTCACAGGCTCTGTCACTGAAGAGTCCTGCATCCTTTCATGTCAGCAGCCTCGGCAGATGGCTGAGGGCTCAACCTTCTCCAGCGCCTGCAAGTTCAGATACCTCCCACGGCCACGCTCCCTCTCTCCAGGACTGAGCTTGAACTCAGGGCCTTGGGATGCGAGGTAAGCACTCTACCACTGAGCCTCTTCGACACTCTCATTAGGTTTCCCAGGCTGGCCTCCAGCTCTCTCTGTAGCTCAGCCAGGCTTTGAACTTGAGATCCCGCCCCGCCCCTTCCCCAGTGACTTACAGGTCCTTGTCATTGGACCAGGCCCCAGGTCTTCTGTGAAGCTATCCTTGATGTTTGCCACGCCCCCAGTGCTCTGCAGGTGCCGTTAACACTGTGGAAGTAACTCACTTAACCTGATCACACTGCCTGCCCTTGAAGCTGAAACCCAGGCAGAACTGAAGGCTCTTAATAGAACATTCTGGACAGGCGCTCAGAGCCATCCCGTATGCCTTGAAGGAGGTTGGCTTACTCTGCCACTAGAGGGGAGATCTTGGGCCTGGCGAGTTTAATCTCTCTTCACAAGGTCAGTTCTGCTGACTCCACTAATCAGCTTGAACCTCCTAATCCGTGCCCAGGAACTTCAGGAAACACAGCGGGTGGCTTGTGAGAGGTGGCCGGGGCCATTGAGGCCCCTCACCTGGGCCTTTCTTCTGTAGAGTTGGTCTTCAGGGGGGATGGGGCAGCTGAGCCATGTGCACCACCCTCTTCCTGCTCAGCTTGGCCATGCTGTGGCGCCGCAGATTTGCCAACCGGGTGGAACCGTGAGAGACGAAGGGGGCTGAGCATTGGGGTTGGGGGTGGGAGGAACTTCCAGGGTGGGCTACAGATAAGCAGAGGGTGAGCAGTGTCTGCCTGGGCCTCCAGCTGCTCTGGGAGGGGATTTGAAGGACACCCTGAAGGGTCGCTCTCAGAGCAGGTGGCGCTGGGTTGGAGCAGCCCGCCCATTAGTCCCGCGCTGCTGGACTGTGAAAAGGGGAAGGGACAGAAGCTGAGCATTGCCTACAGGTTCTCTTGCCTGCTCTTTCCTTCCAGGGAGCCCAGCGGAGTGGATGGGGCAGTTGTGGGCAGCAGCTCGGACACAGACCTTCAGTCCTCCGACAGGTGAAGGAGAATGGGGGGCGGGGAAATGGTGCCAAGGGAACGATTGGCGTGTGTGTGTGTGTGTGTGTGTGTGTGTGTGTGTGTGTGTGTGTGTTCTAGCCCTCCTCAGAGTCTCTCCTGTGTGGTGGGCAGGTTAGGTGAGAGAGGGAGTCCTTGACCCCTTCTTCTGGACCAGTACGGTGTTGTTTTGCTTCTGTGACGTGAGTGTGGGACAGTCCCCAGGAGGACCTTCTGTTGAAGGATCGGGGAGCAGAGGGAGGAGGCAGGAGCCACTCTGGGGTGATTTGCTCTCTTGTCCTTGGTCCTCCCTCCTCCTCCTCCTTCCTCTGCCACCAACCGGCTCTGCATCTCAGATGCCTGAACCTCCAGCCGGATTCGTTGTCCAGTCCCCAATAGAAGGCGCAGGAGGAGCATGACGTCATCAGCACTGAGTTCCATTGGCTGGGCAGCCCCTGCGGGCAGGACGCTGTCTCCAGTGGCCAGAAAGTTAACTCTTCCCTAGGTTGAAGCCATGTGGCCTTTGTGGGGTAGGGGGCAAAGTTGTGCATTCTTCTGGCTTTTCCTTCCCTGGCTTACCAAAGACTTTTGGATGGTAAGGGGCCTCTATGCCCTTCAAAACACTGAAAAAGCGAAGCAGTATCTATTTAGTACTTATGTGTAAGACATTATGTGCCTGCCCATGGACTCCCTAGCATGGGTGACATCTCGAGATCATCTCTCACTCCTAGTGAAAACAAGGGCAAAAAATGATTCCCAGGAGCTCTGGGATTCAGGGCCCACTGGAAGGAGGATGTCCTGACTGACTTGTCCTCAGTCAGTGTGGAAAGGCAAATACATACCGTGACCCTAAAGCTGGAGTTGAAACAGTGTTTGCAAGGCTGCTGGGAAGCACAGCGGAACTTAACTGCTGGGCCAGTGCTAGTGTGCTAGCGCTAGTGGTACTCCTGGGATGCCACTCCCGGGATGCCACTCCTGGGATGCCACTCCTGGGATGCTACTCCTGGGATGCTACTCCTGGGATGCTACTCCTGGGATGCTACTCCTGGGATGCATACTCTTGGGATGCATACTTCTGAGATGCTACTCCTGGGATGCCACTCCTGGGATGCCACTCCTGGGATGCCACTCCCGGGATGCCACTCCTGGGATGCATACTCTTGGGATGCATACTTCTGAGATGCTACTCCTGGGATGTCACTCCTGAGATGTATACTCTTGGGATGCTACTCCTGGGATGTATACTCTTGGGATGCTACTCCTGAGATGCTACTCCTGAAATGCTATTTCTGGCATGCATAGCCAGTGGATGCTTTGTGCTTCCCTAGACCTTCCTTTCTCTTTTCTTCCTTTCTTTTATTTTATTTTTCATTTGATTGTTTTTTTTCAGACAGGGTCTTACTATGCTGCCCTGGAACTCGCTCTGTAGACCAGGCTGGCTTCAAACTCACAGAGATCCACCTTCCTCTGCCTCCTGAGTGCTGGGATTAAAGACGTGTGCCACCACCACCCATCTCCCAAACCTTTCTTATGCAGTAATTCTCAATAACCTCAGGCTTAGTAGGATGTGGCTGTTTGTTTATAATCGCTCAGTAATGGAATGGCCAAGGAGATCTGAATGGGGGACCATCTTCCAAGTAGCTGTCTTCCCTAAAAAAAAAAAAAAAAAAAAAAAAACAAGCCAATTGGTCATCTGACACCACTAATCAGCCAGCCCTGGAAAAAAAAAAAAAAAAAAAAAAAAGGCCTAGACCCCCATGACCAGTCTGGTTACCTCTTAACTCCTTGGCACCCAGTTTTGTTGATGGGGGCTGCACAGGGCTGGCTGGGGAGGCTTGGGGCAGGGGGGTGAGGAAGAGGAAGGGGAGCCCTAAGCATGACAATCCAACACCTCCAGCTTTTGACTCCAATGATTCCTTCTGTCCAGGGAGAAAAAACCTGTGAGGTAGGCCCTCACTTCTTCAGGCACCTCAGCTCTGGGGACTGTAACCCACCGGCCCAGACAGGTAAAGCCAGGACCAGGAGCCCTGGAGGGCAGAGGGACATGGGAGGCAGTCTGTAGCTCTCATGGTCACTGGTGGAGGTTGAGTGAGGGTTGGTTTGTCTTGTGCTTGCTACTTAATGCCTCAGGCCACAGGGCAAGGGCTGCTTTGAAGAGAGTCAGTGTGGTCCTGACCATGCTTCCTAGGCTTGGGGGTAAGGTGGTAGCTGAGCTGGGTCCTGAGGGCAGTGTTGCAGACCTCTAAGGGAGGGGAAGTGGTCTGGGATGGGCTGCCCTGAAATACATATCCCACCTCTGGGCATGGGAAAGAGCAGTGAGCTGTTTTGGTTTTCCGTTCTAGCTGGAGTCCTGGTTCACCCCCTGTCCCAGGAGGATGTGGTGGGGCTGGAAGCAGCAGCAGGAGGAGGGAGAATGGGAGAGGCCGTCATGGAGAAGGTAGGCTCTTCCCCCAGCCCCCAGGCCTGCTCCTAGACAGGCCGTGACTACAGGGCTCCCAAGCAAGGCTGCACAGGCAGGAAGAAGATGATGCCTGTGCTCCTGGGCTCCCACTCCCGAGTTCCTGCTCTGAGGAACTGCCAAGCTGGAGGAGGCACAGGGAGAGGGACTTTCCAGGCTCCCCCAGGCTAACTGCAGGGAACCCCAGCATCCCAGGCAAGGGCCAGGTGCAGAGAGCAAGAAGACTTGAGAAGCCAGGGAAGGATAAAGGACAGCCTGTGCTTAGTCACCAAGGACTCCCGACCGTAACCCACGGACGGCGGCAGTCCTGGTATCTATGGTACACGCACAAGAAGACACAGGGAGAAGCCCATCGCCACCACGCTGTTAGGTGGGGGATCCAAGCCCACCCCCTCCCCGACTTTGCAGCTGCTGGCCCGGCCATCTGTCAGCCCGGGAGCTGTTCTGTTAAACCCCTGTGGTCCAGGGCTGGGTCGTGTCACTTTTCTACAGGGATAACTCATTCCTGTGGCATCTGCCTCTTTTCAGTCCCTGGAACTCACCCTGTCATTGGCTGCTCTCCTGAAATTATCAGTAAGAAAGGCCAGCTGGATCTGAGGCATGTCTGCCTGACGCTGGATGCGAGCAAACACCAGCTTGTGTTCTGAGTGTGCTTTGTGTCTGTGTCTGTGTGCGCGCGTGCACGCGTGTGTGCGCTCCAAATGGGCAGCGGCGGGTTGGAAGGGGAAAGCGTGGCACCTGGTTTTGCCACTGTGCTGACGGCCGCCTCTGCCCCCAGCTGCTCTGCCATTTCTCTCCTTTCTGTCCTGCCCGGTCCAGAGCAGAGATCAAAGCACATTTCCGCTCCTGCTCCCGGATCCAGGCTTACCCTGCGGGCAGCTGCTCCCGACTGTCTGGGAGCCATTCATCTTCAAAAGGCACCCACCCTCCAAGCGTCTCTCCCCCACCCAGCTCCCCACTGCCGGCCCAGCAGCAATGCCTCTGGCCGGCCGGCCTCTGCCCCTGAAAGTCAGGGGCAGAAGACAGTCCCCAAGACAGCAGGGTCCCAGGCCCCTCCACTTCAGTGGAGGGAGAAAAAAATGTGAGAGCAAGGAGAGGTGCTGGTACTGCGGGGAGCCTGGCTTGGGTGTGTATACAGGCAGTTCCATAGGAGCTGCCTTCCGTAGGGCACAGAGGTGTGTGTGTGTGTGTGTGTGTGTGTGTGTGTGTGTGTGTGTGTATGTCACACTAGGGGAGAGAACCTGCCAGAGCGTCCACCTGATCCAGGCCATGAGCCCGTGGCCAACTGTCTCAGCTCCCGTCAGCCCATTTTTCTCGTGGGAGGCATGAGTCGTCCTAGTGACAGGACTGTCAGGCTGATGGCCAGAGGGCACTGTTCCTGGGGACCCGTCTGTGTCCTCTGATCCCAGCTTTGCACTCGTTCTCTCATCAAGTCACCATGTTCCTGTCACTTCATCCTTGTTTCTGGTCTCTGCCATTTCCAAGTTGCCCGCCTCCTTCCAATGATCCAAGAAATTGTCAGGCCAAGGTCATAGCAGTACCCGGGCTGGCTCCCAGCCCAGACCCACTTCCAACAGGACGGCACCTCTTTGCAACACTGTTCTGTCAACCTCCTCTAAGGATCCAGACGAAGGGCAAGGATGGGCTGGAAAGGGGCTTGCAGGCAGTAGGGGATGTGACTTACTGGGCTCTGGCAGCTGGGGTGCCATGTGGGCTGGGAGGGAGGGGCCCTCTCCTCCGGGAGCAGGCTGGCTTTGGTGGGAGCAGACTGTGTTTACACCTTCCCCGCACACCCTGCCCACGCTCTCGGCTTATTCCCAGGGCCTCTCCCACCCTGGGCTCTCTGTGCAGTCTGCACATTTGAAGCTCTTGCTACAGAAAGTCCTTTCCCGCAGCTTGGAAAGCTCCCACTGCCCAGGTGCCCTCCCTCATCCCAGAACTCCTCCTCAGGAGGCTCCCACTGCCCAGGTGCCCTCCCTCACCCCAGAACTCCTCCTCAGGAGGCATCCACTGCCCAG